CATTTTTTAAAAGCATCTATCCTACGCGTATCCATTCGTCAAGTATTAATTTCTCTCATTAGCCTGAAACGTAAAATTTCAACTCAAGAATCGAACTATAGCACTTTGACGTCGCACTGATCTAGAAACATGACCCTTTCATTATCCATCATGTATGATCATGATCAACCACAACCAATATTCCTCTACGGTTATAAAAATAGTAAATCACAGATGTAAAAACTGAGATTTTTCATCTCTATGCCTGTACTTTGACGATTTCCTCTACAAAAAAAACAAACGTGTGATAACAACATAGATATGAAAGTAGTCAAAATTAAATAATCATCCGCAATAAATATTCATCTTCAACAATAGATATAGTAACTCATAAATATAGAAACTGACTTTTATATCTAAGCCTTGTTTTAATATCTTTGGTGACGTCAAAACAGATAGGGTAGGGTAATTCTATCATAGATATAGTAACTCATAAATATAGAAACTGACTTTTATATTGAAGTTTTATGTTTTAATATCTTTGGTGACGTCAAAACAGATAGAGTAGGTTATTCAATCATAGATATAATAACTCATAAATATAGAAACTGACTTATATCTAAGTCTCATATTTTAATATCTATGGTGACGTCAAAGCCGATAGGGTAGGCCAATTTCAGTATAAAAACCCACGGTAAAAAGTACATAACTACAACATGGACGTGTTATGTAACGTTTAATTTAAAAACACGAAGGTGGGTCGATAATATAACATACATAGAATGAAAAATGAATGTCAAAAACATAGATATAGAAACTAATTTCTATATCTATGTAAACAAATATTATTTATACAATGGCAATAACAATAATAATAACCATAATGATAATAATAATAACAACAGCAATTAGGTATAGAATAAGTTATAATAATACTAAATAATAATGCGTAAAAGGGTGTACATTGTACATGGAACAAAAATAAAATGAAATTTTTTTTATCTAAATTTGAAGATACATAGCTCCGGATAGTTTTTCTCCATATAGAATATAGATAGAATGTTTCCCTCCAACAAAAGCAAAGACATTTCCCGGTTTAAAGTCAATGACATCATCGCATTTCTGTTAACGCAACTGGAAAAAAAAATTAACAGTTCGGGTCGTTGCTTTTTCGCTATAACCATTTAAAATAAAAAAATTCAGTCGATTCGTATCACCATTAGAATAGTAATAAAAAAATAGTTATAATAAAAATCATTAATGATATTTATTTGTTTATTATTCTTGCGAAAACTCAGATTCATATAAAAATATCATTTTAGCTTGAAAAAAAGAAAAGTTTAAACTGAGAGAGAGTTAAACAGAAAAAAAGATAAACTTCTTGATGAATGAAATTCCTAACATTTTTAATTGGTTTACATCCATCCAGTCAGAAATTTCGCATGTTTTTAATTAATTCAATAGTTATTTATCTATATACATAATCATTAATTTATTTATTAAAATCATTTAATTTGTAAAAAAAAACAATTTGTAAAAAAAGTCTTCATTTCATTTTGAGGTGCAAATGAATAAAAATTCTTTTCTGTCAATGATATAAAACATTTTTACCATTAAAAGACAATAATAACACATTCATCAGTCATTAGCATACCTGAAATGATTATTTATTATTAATAAATAGCTATTTATAACCATATTTCGCCATAATTCGGTCAAATAAATGAACGAGTGAATGATTGAACGAGTGAATGTTTAAATGAATGAATGATTGACTGTATTAATAAACGAATGAGAAAATGAACGAATAATAACAAATTAAAAACAAAAATATTTTTTCACATTTGAAAATACATTTTTTTATATGTTATAACATATGAATGTTGATCTATTTAAGGACAAAAAGACTTCACAGGCAAATGAAATGAAGATAAATAATTCGGAATAAAAATAAAAACACGACAATTAAAGAAATGGAACAGAGATTATTTTTATTCGAATTGAGAAAAAAAACTAATAATGGAAAATGAATAATTAGTAATAACAATACTAAAAACTTATAAATGAAAAAATTTAAAGTCACAAAAAGGAGTAAGATGATTTACGTATTTTGCTGGCTTTCCGTACCTTTCCCAATTCAATTCTATTTATATTTCAGTTTTATCTGCACATTGCCACAAATACTTTATCTTCATATTATTTTATTGTACATGTATTAAATCTGACTAATGCCTTCTACAATTCATAACTCCATTTTCATCGCTTCAGGCCTTGCTTGTTCATTCCTCTTCTCTGCGATTGACAGAGTTTGATTTACAGAATGAACAAAAAAAAAAAAAAATAAATTCAAATGTGATGATATTAATTAGACTCGTATTTAACACACATTTAGCCATTTACATTGCACACACACACACATACAGACACACACACAGACACACGCACGCGCGCACACACACAAGTATATATATATATACAAATATATCTTATTATATCGCTAAAATAAAAATAAAAACAATTTTTCAAGAATCAAATTTGTAATTAATGTTTACATAATCCAATTAAATGTATATGTAAATGATATACATCACAACAAAATTATGTAGTATTCAACCGTAGTATGTGATAAACTTACTCACTAAAACCATTAATCACTCTCACTCACTCACTCACTCACTCACTCACTCACTCACTCACTCACTCACTCACTCACTCATCCATCCAATAACTTACTAATTAGTATCGATAAAGATGCAGTTAACATCACGTAATGAAAAAATCTTATATAATGATATGAAGAAGCGCGTACAAACACACACACACACAACCGCGCACAATCAAACGGACAAACACACACACACACATACAGACAGAGAGAGACAAATAGCCAGACACACACACACAACATTCATACATACATAAACACACGTTTCACTGTACGATCAATAATTTCGTTAATTTAATTTAATTAATTAAGACAAATAGCGCTAATGTTTGCTAATAAATAATAGGACAAGTATTATACAGTTTGATATTTCATCATATATATATATATATATATATATATATATATATATATATATATATATATATATATATGACTATAACACATAAACGTATAAATATATATATACATACATAAGCGTGTATGAATGTAGTGTGTTATATTTTGTGTTATTATAACACAAGCTCACACACACTCAAACACACACAGATAATCTTCTAAACAATTAATGACAGTAGAATATTAGTAACCATTTTTTTAGTATTCAAACAGAAATGAACGAACGAACAAATAAACGAACGAACGTACGATCAAGCAAACGAACAAACGAATGGATGATTGTTAGACACAATCAACGAGAAATTCAAAATTATTATCTTAATATGTCTGTCTAGCTATCTAATGGTACATCAAACATATATACATTTAAAACGTTAATATGGTCTATTCATTTTAGCATTAGAAAAACAGTTTTGAATATATAGATATGATATATAAGTAAATATATATATATATATATATATATGTGTGTGTGTGTGTGTGTTTGTGTGTGCGTGTGGCATAATTAACGACGTTATTATTTGAATGAGTTATTAATTAATAAAACCATAATAACCATAATAAATGCGTTTGTAATGATATGATTGTTGTATTTGCTAATAATATTAATAATTACATTTTCCACCATTGTTAAATTTAATCGATCGAAACGAAATTACGATAATAATAATAATAATAATAATAATGATAACGATAATAATAATAATGATGTCGACAAATAACCATAACATTATTATCATCATTATTAAATAAAGATTAAATAAAGATTAAATAAAAACATACAGAAAATGACGTCATTTTTCTGACGATCTCTCTCCCTATTTATCTCATGACAGTGAACATTTTTTCACAGGCAAACAAAATGATGTAAAACTATTCAGAAGCTTATACATACGTGCATATTAAAAAATGGTCACCATCATCATCACCATCATCATCATCATCATCGTTAGTGTTAATCTTCTTCTTATTATTATTATTACTATTAGCATCGTCGTCGTCGTCATCATCTCCATCATGCAGATTCGGAATCGCTGGTGTCCGTGGAGCTGCTGTTGGAGCTATCCGTACTGCTGTCGCTCATGGAAGCTGTGGTGGTAGTGGCGGTGGTGGTTGTAACAGTGACGACGTTAGTGATGATGATGATGGCAATGATGATGACTATAATAATGGTGATTTGAGCAATAATCATCAGATGATAACGATGATGATAAGAACAATGATGATGATATGATAGGTAGAATAATTACAAAAATAATAACAACAACAACAATAATAATAATAACAACAATAATGAATATTATTATTATATTTGCTTGATAAAAATATTTAAACCACCTTTTTTGCCGGGCTTTTTGACAGCACTTCCGGACGATTGATGAGTTTGTTTATTACTATTATTAATATTATTATTATTATTGTTGTTGTTATTTTCATTATTATTATTATTATTACTTTTATTATCTTGTCTTTCTTCCGTGCTGTTGCTGTTCTTCGCGTTGCTGCTTCGTTTAATGCCTTTTAAATGGAGTGGTGTGAGTTTTAAGAATAATTGAGGTGCGGACGAGAAAAAAAAATAAAGTGGATTCACTAATGTCATTATTTCATATAGCAGAACCTAATTTGTTACCCTTGTATCATCACATTGATATGATAATCTCTGTTATCAACTGATTACATCATCGTCGTCGTCATCATCATCATCAACTAGATTTCGATACTAACTATTCTTTCTCATCATCGCGTTTAACATTCTCATCATTACAATCACCATCATTTAGGAACTTCAGAACCTAAACTATCGCGTTCGTTAGAAAGAAATTATTTTTTGTTAGAAATAAGTTTATCGATATTTGAAGTACTCAGAAATAATGCAGCTAACTCGAATTATTCCAAAATGCAACACGACAATCCCCTTAGAGCCAGTTTATTGGAGGTCATATTCCAAAGATTAATATTAAATAATATAATTATCGGCTTCATCATCGTCGTCGTCATCACTATCATCATCATCATCGTCGTCATCACTATCATCATCATCATCGTCACTATAATCATCATCAATACCACCACCATCATCAACACCACCAACATCAACATCATCAACACTACCAACATCACCATCGTCACCATCACCACCACCACCATCATCATCATCGCCGTCCTCATCATCACCACCACCACTAGCAGCACAGCAGTACGAACGAGGTTTCTTCCTCAGACAGGATGCGACATAGGCCTCCAGCTCTCTCAACGTTGAAGGTTTCAATGTCTCGAAGTCTATCTCGATCTCATCCGGGTTCGAATCCTGTCAGAGGCGAGGATGAAGAAAAAGTAGAAGAGTGAATGAATGGAAAAATGAATAAATGAAAAAAATGAACGAAAGATTGAATGAAGGAGGGATAAATGACTGAAATATTGAACGAAAGTTGAATGAAGAATCTAATGAATGAATGAAGAAATGAACGAAAAAATGGATAAAGAAATGAATGAATGAAAGATAGAATGAAGAGAACATTTGATTGATTAAACTAAGAATGAACTAACGATTGAATTATTGATTGAATGATTGATTGATTGATTGATAGAAAAGAGAGATACATAGATCTTGATCTGAAAATTTCGTATTAGAAATTATGTCTATAGTTCAATTTCAGACTTTTTGAAAACGATGCATCTGGCTGCATTTTTCATTGTTTACAATTTGTAACAGTGTATAAAAAAAATAAGCGTTTTAAACAATTTAGCTACACCAAGTAGTAAAAAAAAAATAATAATAATGAATAGTAATAAATATAATAATAATTATTACAATAATTATTACAGATATATCAGCAAACCTTTAATGACGGCTCTCTCGACTGAATGATATTGACAACTTTACCTAGTTTCTCACCTATCGAACGATCATTAGAGAAGTTATTGACTCCATCGTAAACTACTAGAAGTAAACTTTTTGAAAATTGTTAAATGTGACGTAACAGTAGACAATACAATAATATAAACAACAAAAAAAAACAACATAAAGAGAGAGAGAGAGAGAGAGAGAGAGAGAGAGAGAGAGAGAGAGAGAGAGAAAGAAACAGGCATATAGCAAGACACACACAACTGAAAATATAAAACAAGAAAAGGCAAAGAGCGAGAAATAAAGAAAGAGACGAGAGCTAGAGAGGCATAGAGAATGGGATAGACATAGAGAAATAAAGAAAGACAAAGAGAGGGAAAGAGAGAGAGAGAAAGAGAGAGAGAGATAGACGGAAAGCTAAGGAGAGACAACATGGAGACCTACCAGGCAATTTGTTGATGTCCAAACTCAACTGCCTCTTTTCATCGTACGTCATTGGCTTGCTCTTATCCTCGTCTTCACTGTCGAACATGAAGACATTGCAAATGCCACCAGAGGATGGCACAGCTCCAGGGCCAGAGTTCGTAGCTTTCTCCCTCTTGCTTGCTTGAGATTTGGCATTTGATTTGGCGTTCGGTTGCTTCTTGTTGCTGGCTGTAGCTGGCGTCGACTTGGCTGCCGATTTTGCTGGTCTTGTGTTCTGAAGGGAGTGAAATATACTTTGGTAGTAAAATTTAGTAAAACGACCATTTGTCATCAGCTTTAAATTCATCTATTTGTTTTAATTGCTCGGCTAAATTTTTATGGACTGAAGGTTTCTAACAGTCCAACTTGAAAGATCAAACAAAAAATAATTAAAAAAAATTCAGTACCACAGTAAATGGTCACAGTAATTAAAAAGTAATAAGGCGTTAGTAGAATTTAATATAACATAAACTTAAAACTACAAAAGAACAAACTTGAGCTGATGTGGTTGGTTGCTGATGAAGTGGTGTCACATGGTGAAAAGGTAGCGAAGAAGAAGAATTGTTGGAAGCGGTGGATGGCATTGTTGTTGTAGTTGGTGGTTGTTGTGTTGTTGTCGGTGGCGGGTTACGAGCGTGGAAGAGGTTGTTGTTGCTGTTGTTTGGAAGTTGCTGACTGCCTGTATTTGAATTGTTGGCATTGGTAGTAATGTTGTTGCTGGTGCTATTATTTAAACTGCTACTGCTGCTGCTACTTGTGTTGTTGTTGGTGGTGGTAGTTGTGGTGACCTTCCTCTTCCTCCTTCTCTTCTTCCTTTCCTTCACCTTCAAGCTGTGCTTGTGTTGCAGCTGCAAGAGCTGAGCCTGCACTATCTTCAGCTGTTTGGGATGACAACAATAACGATGGCGATAATGATTGATAATGATCATTAGAATGGACATGATTACAACAACATAAACAATAACATAAACAACAATATAGGCAACAAAAACAACAACATAAACAACAAAATAAACAACAAAACATAAACAACAAAACATAAACAACAAAACATAAACAACAACACAACAACAACAGCACAACAATAACCTGTTCCTGCAAGACTTTCAACCTTTTTTCCCTCTCCACTTCACTATCGTCATCACCATCGACACCACCCGTATGCACCCTGTCCTCATTCTCATCATCCATATCATCATCATCATCATCGGCGTCGTCATCATCATTGTAGGATATGTTATTCTTTCTTCTGGAGGAACAATTCCTCAAATTACGAGTCTGGCTGGAGCTTGTGTTGACGTCATTATTCATACTACTGTTCATGCTGTTGTTGTTGTTGTCGCTATTACTGTCGTTGTTGGTATTCATTGTGGTGTTAAGGTCGTCAGGTTCAGCGTCTTCTGGCGTGAATGCATACTTCATCTCGAAGACTTCCTGTTTTATGTGAGTGTGTATATGTGGGGTGTGTTTGTTTGTCTGTCTGTGTGTGTGTGTTTGTCTGTGTGAGTGTGTGTGTGTGTGTGAGTGGAGTGCAATGATGGTGGTGAAGTTTTCATGTACCTGAAGTTTCCTAGCCATAGCGACGACGTCGCTCCCATGTGGATG